AACAAACATACATGCAGTCTAAAACTAATCTGTTACATCTGTAACATATCCGCTGTAACCAAACAGTTCGCTTTGGTAACATTGAGATAATCCAACTATGTTTTCAATATTGAGGTTGCGAACTTCGATTCGATACCTGTATATTTTTCAAATTCAATGTTCAATCTACATTCGAAGCCTCAACATTGAAAAACAGGTGGTTTATTTCCTAAACTGATCATCCATTTATTTTGTCATTTGTAAATAAAAGCGACATAAACCCTTTCCATACCCATAAGAAATCTCCGCCTAAAGCATACTGTTTATTAGTCGATTTTATGATTCCGACTATATCAAAAGCATGTGTTAATGAATCACTATCAAATAGTGATGACACCAAGGGTTCACGAAAAGGTGAGCGTGTCATGACCCATCAGTGCCACAGTCACAAACACATGCAAAGACAAGTCAATTGTTCACCCGAAAATACACGGAAACATATGGTACAATACAAAATAGGGAAGTGCATCGGACATCATATTTGTCACTGATGCATCCAATTTGGAAATGTCCTCCACATGTCTACATGTTGTTTGTTTGTTCGTTCGTTCGTTCGTTCGTTCGTTCGTTCGTTCTTTCTTTCTTTCTTTCGTTCGTTCATTCATTCTATTTATTCATTCATTCATTCATTCATTCATTCATTCATTCATTCATTTATTGCCATAAAACTTTTTGAAAGCTTTCTGAGCCTTTACTTCAGTTTTCAGGAAGGAGGATGAGGAAGGAGGTGTAAATACAAAATCTATGTGCAAGGAATTATCAGTATGATTACATAGGGTTACCTGTTATCCAGACGACGGTGAAGCAGCAAACAAGGAACCAAAACACAAGAGGCCCGAACACCAACTTTTTGTTCAGCATGATGATGGCAAGGCTAGCGAGCATCTGTTACAAAAACACTTTCCTCCCGTCGCCGTAGGCTTGTTCTGCAGGTAAACGTGCTGATGTCACACCTGGGTCGCGTTGTCTTGTTTAACCACGCCTTACTAATTTGTTTTTGTCGTTTCTATTCTTGCGCTCTGCAGACAAATCAGACCATTTCCTGGTTTGGTTATTGTTAAAAGTGTTATGCGGTTACTGTTGCAAAAAGGTATGTCATCTGTGTATTGTCTTTTTTTCTTGTGTTTCTTTTATAATTTCATGTTTCTCTGTGGGTGCCCTAGATAATCGTGTGTTTGTAACGTGAGTTGCAAAATGGAATTCTTTAAAATATAAATATTTATTCAGAACAAATAGTTACAATGCGGAAGTGTTTGTCCGAAGTAGTTTATTGAATTATGAAAAAGATAGTTATTACCGAAAACGTTTGTCTTAACAGCCATACTTTCTTATCATGTTAATGTTTACTAAAGGAAAATATAGAAGACTAAGGATTCACAAAGCATGACATTGTCCTTTTCATGTCACTTAATACAGGCGGTTCCTGTGAATCATTATATTGTACGAAAGTAAGAAGACAAGCATGTTTGTTAAAATGAGTACGTTTGTTTGTTTGTTGTTCAACGCCGCACACAGCAAAATTCAAGCTATATGACGGCGGTCTGTAAATAATCGAGTCTGGACCAGACAATCCAGTGATTGACATCATGAACATCGATCCACGCAATTGGGATACGATGACATGCATCAAACAAGTCAGCGAGCCTGACCACCCGATCCCGTTAGTCGCCTCTTACGACAAGCATAGTCGCCTTTTCTGGCAAGCATGGGTTGCTGAAGACCTATTCTACTCCGGATCTTCACGGGTCGTGTACATCTATGAATTAAATACTTACATGTATTCCAAAAAAGGTCTGTGAAATGACACCTGAAACACAACAACTAAACACCAATGCATACTTCATTTCCGTGGCACATGTTATCTTCTTCTGACTTAATATATGTGTGCAGACATCGTTGCATAAGAGCAGTCATTATAGTTTTATTATATTGATCGGAATTGTTTATCTTCAATATCTATAGCGGTGTTTTATGGGACATTTAGTACATCGTGCCTGTATTGTGGGCTCTTGTGCAAACACATTAAATGGTTTTAATGGGTTCTTAATGACGTGTCCCTATGTACTTGCTGGTCATCTGATATTTGTTTTCCTTCTGAAATTTTCATTATTTGACCCCTGATAAGTTGACATCAGATAAGTGGATATTCGTATTAAGTGGACATCTGTTCTAAGCGACCTACACGTCATTTTATATATACCAAAGGAACAAACATCACTCTGCGTCGTTAGAAATAAATTTATTCTGAAATATATGTATTTTTCAATATATATTCATAAAGACATCACGACTTTAAGGTCGCGATTCACGGTTTGCGTGTGCATGTTCATGTACGGCGCACTATCTGGACGTTTGCGTGTTTGATGAGAGCATGATACTCATACACGTGTTTTGTTCATGTGAACAGCACGTAATAATTCTTGAATTATCAAATGCTCATAAAAACACTTTTGTTTAACTGTAAATAACGCGTACGCAATGCCACGGCTTGATGAAAATCAACGTCTATGCGCCGTGGGTCTGCAGCGAACAAGAGTGACGCTCTTCGTCGTCAGTTTAGGGGTTGAATTGTATGGGGTGAACACAACCCCTTATTGTTAATGGCAATTTGAATGGCGTACGCTACCCGGAAGACACAGCTCGAGATCACGTTCTCCCTTGTGTGCAAGTGCAAGGACGTAACGTTACGTTGCGTGGATACGCCAGCCCATGTTGCATGTGTTGTAACAGTTTTTTTAGGCGGCATAACTCTTTTTTATTTCCATGACCGTCTGTTTCTCCAGACCCATCAGTTCCGACAATCTTTGGTTGACGCTTGGCTGTTTTCGGTCATCTGAGGTCTTCAATACGCTGCCGCTGCCTCGCCTGTGTCAACGCAAATGGTGGTCACACCCGATACTGACATTGGTGACATCATATTGAGTTGTTACATCAATCCCCTTTTAGGGCGTGTCGCTCTTTCTCCTGTTACCATGTATAGGTTTTGTCAATGAATTTGTTATGATACAACACTAAACAGACGAATGACCAAATATGTTATTTTCAATAACATGACATTTACACCAGTTAATATGAAGCACAATGACTATTTTTCGCTGGTATATTAATAACTGGTTCCTAAAAGAGGACAGACCTTTTTGTAACTTGCTTATAACTTGAATCCTGCCTTCATCGGCAATAACTGCAACAGACTAGATCAATGCGGCATAAAACAATAATCTAATCCCTCTCGTTGTGTAAAGTTGTTAACATAGACTAACATCTAGTCTCTGAAATCAACATATCTTACAGAAAACAAACAGTTGTTAAATATTATATTTAAAAAATATAAAAAGGAGCCCAGAGACTCTCTTCATTTTCAGATTGCGCAACATTATAGACTTGCCTGGGCTGTATTGGATATATTTGTATCAGGGTCTGTATGACAGTCTAGATGTTAACAGTAAATGTACATGAACTGACAATGATTGGCGTTGTTTTTAGAGGACAGGGGAGATCAATCTGTGTTGGAGAGAACAAGTTGAGATACCTCTTATTTATATATTTGAAACCTCGCGCTAAAGTGCTCTGTTCCAAATTAATAAAAGAGGTATCTACTCTACAGTGGGACTACATAAAATTTCAAAACACAGTAGGTTTATCTGCTAAATAAACCACGCTTCGTTCTTCATTGTTCTTTGCGATTTATAGCGTAGCTATCTTATAGTGTGTTGGATGAGATAGCTACGCTATAAATCCCAAAGAACAATGAAGAACGAAGTGTGAAGTGACTTCATTCACCATCACCATCTCGCTGATCATTTAATAAGCATAGGATTCCCCTCACTCTTGAGTAAAATCTGACTCTATCTTCCGAGGGAGTTAACTGACTGTGAAAGTCCAGTTTCCAGTGGACTTGAAGTCAGTTAACTCCCTTGCCTCGGGAAGACGATCTGACTCTCAAACCTGAATACATGCCCATTCCTTTTTTGTACGGGATTCCAAAGCTCCATAAACATCCGTACAACGAGAGATATTGCTTGCATAAAAACGAAAGTGTTTGTTGCCAGACGCACTGCCCAAAATTGGACCAGACAATCAAGTGACAATCCAAACCTGTCCAAAGCCACATGAAGCGTAGTAAAATCTGCCTCCTTGCCTTGGTTATGTGTGGCCGGGCTTGAGAGGACGACTCACTTGAAGAGGGGTAATGAGTAGGTTTATGGAGAACGTGGAACCAATTGCAGTTGTGTTAAGATGTGCATAATGAGATGTAAATGTCTACAGGTAAAGTCGTCTATTTGTTGGGCCAAACAAAACAAAACGCGAAATGGAAAATATAGCTTCATGGTTTTAAAGGACTGGTCATTTGTTATATGTGGGTGGTGGGATTGGTCTTATTTACTGTATGATTATGCTTACCCCCGCTCCTTTTAATGTAGAATGTTACCATCTCCCCCACACCCCAAGAAATGTAACATCCACATTATGCATTATGCCTTTGCTGTCCCAGAAAAGACCATAGCCTTCTTAGCGACGATACCAGGTGTTCCCGAAAGGGTTTACAAGCGTACCCTGCCCTACCGATGGTACATGTCACAAACCCTAATAACCTCCAGGGCCCTGTTCCCCAAAGCGATCTTTGCACCAAGGTGATCGTAAGTCCCGTACTTAAACATAGGCTTACAATAATCGCAGCACTAAGGTTGCTTTGAGGAACGGCTGATCTGGAGATCAGTGTGACTGACCTAATACACCTTCCATGTGACTAGAGATCCCTGTGTCCGTGTGACTAGAGATCAGTGTGACTGACCTAATACACCTTCCCTGTGACTAGAGATCCCTGTGTCCGTGTGACAAGAGATCAGTGTGACTGACCTCCCAATACACCTTCCTTACGACAAGAGATCACTGTGCTTGACCACACAATACACATTCTGACAAGATGTTTAACCCTGTGTTAAACAATACAAAACAAACTGTAAGGGATATAAGTACTCTTTATTATCAATGAGTGCCTGAGATGTTAGTTGTCTCTGTATCACAGATGTTGTACTTGAAGATCTCAGTCAATTTCATCATATAAATTCAATTTATCTCAAATTATCTAACAAAAACAAATTTTCTAACAATTCTCAATAATTTAGATCTTGTGGTACTCTAATTCACATAGCAAATGAATTGTTATATTAAACTATTAAAATAGAGAAATAACTCCATGCACATCCTGAGACACACACCAGCAGTTAAATCAAAATAGTTGTGAGTATTCAGAAATATACACAAGTGTTATTTCTCACCCTGTAATCCATACAGGTATGTTTGCATAAAAAATTGACAATTGTTAAAAAACATATAACACAATGGACATAAAGACTTTGGATATGAGATGAAAATAACTTCGAATCTGATAATCCACACACACAAACAGAATGACCAAAAACAACACTTTATCATAAAAACTGTTATAGGTACTTTCAGGCAGGGAACAGGAGATAGAGGTGATCCATTACACCATATTATCTAAAGCATTCACACAGAAAGGTATATATGTTCTAAGATTTGCTCAGAATGACCTAAGCAGACTCAAAGCCAAGGTCCGCAAACTTTAAGTGTCATGCTGGGCTACACCGTCAAGGAGATCCAGGAGAAATTAGAGATGTAGAATAGCATCAGGTCGAGCCATCACTGTACCATCCAACACCAGACCAAGTTTTATCTGGCATCTTCATTCTCATGACGCTTGAAGTGAAACCATCCAAGATCAGCCAACTGCAGAGGAAGGGAGAGAACTCTTACAGAAGGTCACAATGATAGATATTGACGGATCCATCATTCTGTGATGAAAGGTTTTGTATATTCCCATTTTAGAATGTTGGCCTTAATGATTATTTGACTCTTTAACAGTAGGATGTTCTTTCACATTGCAATCGCCATTATTGCAGCCATATCGAGATGGCCTGTAAATAATCTCGTCTGGACCATGTCAACCAGTAGTTGATAGCATGAGCAATGACATGTGGTCAGGGAATGTTGACCACTCACTGTAACCAAATGTCCGTTCTTAGCAGTAGTGCAGTGTTCACAAAGAACAGACTTCACAAACTGCACTCTTGTGGTCCAATACAGTGCCGTAAAGCTCAAAAGGGTGCTGCCATTTAAGATGTCTTAAAATATACACACTTTAAGGGAAGTGATTGATGTGTAAGAAAAGAATGTATTCAGGTCATAAAAATATTTGTATGATTTGTACCTAAGAGCAGATGCAACAATAAACAATATCTAAGGGGTCAGTCTGTACACACAGTAGTGAGGTGACATGAGGTGAAATGGGGTTTAACATTGTGATCAAGATTATTTTGTTTTGTTTGTTTCTTTGTTGTTTAACACCGCACTCAGCAAAATTCCAGCTATATGACGGCAGTCTATAAAGAATCAAGTCTGGACCAGGCAATCCAGTGATTAATATGATGAGCATCAATCCCACAATTAGGGTACGGTGACATGAAATGATGAATCAACCAAGTCAGCAAGCCTGACCACCTGATCCCGTTAGTCGCCTCTTATGACAAGCATATCGCCTCTTACGGCAAGCATGGGTTGCTGAAGACCTATTCTACCCCGAATCATCACGAATCTGATCAAGATTATTGCACTTACATAGCGAGGTGTATGAATTCGAGTGGGGTATCCTTGTTAAACTGCAGCATGATGTCTCAGTGGGCTAGGACTATAAAACTGGCATTAGTTAAGACTAGAACAGCCACACATGCATGCCATCATCATATCGGTGAAAATATAATTTACCTTCTCACTGGCCCCTTGTCAACTTCAAAAACAGCTTCTAGAGAGCTGCATTGATGGCATTAATGATCTTTGTTAACTTGTCTTTATTGTTAACGAATTGATCACCATTCTGAAACATACCATCATACCTTTCTGTAACTGGAAAAATCATGCTTTTAAAAAATAAATAAATTGTGACCATAAATTGTGCAGGAATTTATATAACTTATAAATGGCCATGAAATATGAAAGATGAAACAATCTTTGAGTGACTGAGGAAGAAAATGAGCTTTGTACCAATATTCTAACATGACTGTCTGGAATACCAACAAGAACTCTCACACATTGTTCCAATGGAACCAAAGCTCAGATTCAGCTTAAATAATTGTTCCTCGTTCATGTCAAACTATCTTCTATAGTAACAATTGTTATATTTGGGATAACACTTTGTAAAGTACAGATTCTCGTACTTTTTTTGGGTTGAGTCCCGTCCAGGATTCGAACCCACACTTGCCAGAGTGAGGCACCTAGTTGCCAGCACACAAAGCCAGTGATCTAACCCACTCAGCCACCGAGGCTTCCACAAAAATGAAAGTCCGACAACTGGCAGTCTAGATCACATACTTTATGTACCCCTCTGACAAGTGTAAATTGGCAAGGCTCTCATGGCTGAAAGGTATGAATACACAATGCCACTTAGAAAGTGGTCAAATGTAACAAATGTTATATTTGGGATAACACTCGCTGAGTTTGTGTGCTGGCGATTAGGTGCCTCACTCTGGCAAGTGTTGGTTCGAATCCCGGACGGGACTCAACCCCCAAAAAGTATGAGAATCTGTACTTTACTAACAAAGTGTTATCCCAAATATAACATTTGTTACATTTGACCACTATCTTCTATAGCTTCTTCTTGGTCCACATGTACCTTACAGGGCCGACATGGTCATCTTAAACCAACTTCTTTCCATGTCAAATACTTCAATTATCTACATTCTGTTAAGCTAGTGAGCTGGTTTAACGCTTTGTACAGTGCTTCTGTTATATCTGTGTGTCAGCATGATGTGGAAGGAAAGTCCAAAGTGATGCAAGTCCTCGATGTTTACCACTTTGGTGAAACCTGCAAGCACCCTGTGGTGCTGACAAACCAAGACTCATAAGGCCAGGCGTTTTATATTTTTCGGATTATGGACCCGCCGACTCTAATTTTTTAGAAATTGTTTAAAAAATATATATCAGATTTTCATTTTTTCCCCACATTTTTTCGCCAATAGCCGCGTAGTCAGTTATCATCACCTTTTAATAAAAAACATATGAATTTACCGTTGTAAACTAGTAAAGAGATACATAATTGATTTTTGTTGATCTTGAAGCCGAACATGAATAGCCTCCCTTGACAATTGTCTCCGTGTTGTAAGTGGTAGACTTTTTATTGTTACAAGGGGCTTTTTCATAAAGTATGCCTGAGGCATTCTGCATGAAAAAAAATGCATCAATGCATTTTTTTCCCTCATCCAACCCTGGATTTTGGGCTGAAAAATCTGTAATCCTAAAAATAAAAAAAGCCTGGCCTAACCAGGTCATATCTTGGAAACTGATCTATGATCATTGTATTCTGGGCTAGTTAATGGATGAAACTTGGATGACTGATACTTACTGCTTTTGAATGCACAAGCTTGCCATTCACCGTGACTTCAAACTTGCCACTGGTGTTTGGAGTGGCCTCTGAAGTCTGTAAAATCAGAAATAAGCAATACCCTTGCAATGGTAGGTTATGGTCTCCAGAGTGAGTGAGTTAAAATTTAGCGTCGCATTGGCATTATTTCAGCCATATAGTGATGAGAAGTTGATACATACACAAATACTTATTGTCATATATATACAAAGATATATTTAAAACAAATTTATCAAACATATTTGGGCATAACAATATTATTTGTACAACATAAAACACCAGTAACCACAGCTAGGCCAATTGCTGGGGATCATGGGGACTTACAGTGCCTCAGCTTCCTGCACGATACCACAGCAGGATCTTTATCATCACTTTAGCCACAGGTGGTTGTGCTATCTATATCACAGCAATAATAAACTTTAATAAAACAGATAATGCAGGATAAGATTTGTTTACAGCTAACTGTTAAAATATATTAATCAGATAAGCAATTAAAAGATTAATACTGGCTGGTATGAAGGATATAAAATAAATGAAACGCCTGCTGTATTTTCAAAAGCTAGTCATATGTATGAACTACCTCGGTCTAACTACTTGGTGTCTTGTTTCGGAAAACACCTATCTAGCCACACAAACAGTCAAAAGCAGAAAGTCACATGACTTCAGCAACATTCCCAAGAAACTTATATTCACTATATACATTCACAAAGCAATATCGGGGACACCAGAAATGGGCTTCGCACATCTACTTTTAGAATGAGGTCACTGTGACCTATTGTTTTCATAACATTATCATAGCTTGTCTTATATAAGATTTCACATGACCAAAGTATACCATTTCATGACTAAGACTTCAAATTATCTGCAGGAGAATGCAATGCAGTTTGTGAAAACACATGCTGAAGGAAAGCAGTATGATTATAATACAGAGTGTCCAATGTCTATCTCCAATCTTGCTTTATAGAAAAATGACATGCACTTCAGTGGAGAAGAGGATGTAACGTGTGTGCAAGACAGTGCCCCTGTTACACATACAAATGACAACGGGAGAGTGGGTAGAATTAGTTGAAACCATGACAAAGCATCTCTATTTTGGGAATGTCAATAGACACAGCTAAATTGGTACCCTGCGACCACAATGACTTATAAACCTTGAAATATGTTAATCAGAGAGGTTTCCTGGGAATGGTATTCTGAATTAAGACTGAACGTATACTGTAAATCTTGAAATAATGTGAGTGCGAAAAATAAAATGTGGAAAATGCGAGGGGTCTTTGCTCGCATTAAATAACTTTGCATTTATGTCTCCAAATGACAATCAACAATAAGACAGCCTCACTGCACACTTTCGATGGTGGAAATACAGACTTGAATATAAACATAAAACAGAGTTTATTAAGCAGCAGTTATAAGAAGTATAAAAACAGTGTCATTCAAAGAATAGGAATTACACAATGGGCAACCGGTGAGTTATCACTGCTGAGGTCAAGAGTTCTACCCACTCGTGTCAAACTTGTTGACACTTTCTCTGCATACCAATCAGTGAACTGTTTTTGGTTCATTTATTTGATTGCCTTTGAACTTCCTAAATGCCAGTCAACAGAGTAAACATATTAACTGTGCTCTACTCAGAGCTAATAAGCAGTGCAATTTGCTGTTTGATTGGATTAAGGTAAGGATATGTGTCCTCCCACTGGGGATGGGGTGGGGGGAGTCGCATTGATTTTGAGTCACATTTTTGGCCAGGGCTCAACACTCGTATTAATTTGGAGAAACATTAATTTCCAGATTTACAGTAATTTTTCTAGTAATGAAACAGCCTAATCATCATGACCATAATTTTTTTCAAACTCACCACTTCAATATCGCCCCCAAATTCGTCCGTCAATTCTGTCTCCAGCTTTCGGAACTGCAAATGAAAAGGAACACACTGCACACTCAGTATGGGGAGGATTTACATATGGCAAAATATTAACTCCATCATCTAGAACAAGATTAATATGTTTTGTTTTATAAAAAAATAAAATAAATTACAATTTAATGATGAAAAGGCATTAATGTAAGCTTAAATTTATATATAACACTTGAAAGGGGTGACTTTCTTTGTATACAATCACACAAAAACAATCCTACTTCTTACTTTTTGCAGGTGCCAACCCAAAGAATGATGAAATAAAGGTTTACAAGTCATTTTGAAAGATTTTCTGCAAATTTCTTCGGTGTCTAATCTATGGTATAAGCTTACTTTTAATCTTATTTTAACCCTTAATGACTGACTGAGTAAAACAGTTTAACCCTTAGAGATTCAAAATGAAATCATGTCTATTTAGCATAGTGCTGATAGTGAGTGAGTTGGGTTAAACACCGTGTTTAACAGTATTCCAGTTACTTCACGACCAGTCAGCTTAATGTGGGAGGAAAGCCTGAAGTGATGCAGGTCTTTGACTTTTACAACATGGTTAAACTCATGTGCACGGTATGGTGCTGACAAACCTAGAAATTTATGCTGGGCGAATTGAGATTCGAAACCCACAATCGTAGGTTCCTAAGGGACGCGCCTCTGAACAGCGAACTGTGGTGCCTTAGGCGACTGAGCCAACCGTCCTGATAATTGTGTGAGCATCTGACTAGTTATTAAACAGAAAAGTAATAATCTCTGAACTGGTCATTAGTTTCTGAGTGAGAAACATGTTCCATTGCAACAACAACAATTTGTTTTCTTAATCTTGTTTTGAGTGGTAAAACACAAGCAAATATCTAGCAGTAGCCATATTGTGTGCATGAGGTACCAGATCCAGAATCTAAACAATCACCAAGAGGTAAGAAGTAATGAGTGCATGAATAAGTTGTGTTTAATGCTGCCTTGAAACTGCATTCCAGTTATATCACAGCGTGTCAGCTAAATGTGGTAGGAAAGCCCCAAGTGATGCAGGTCTCAGACATTTACCACTTTGGAGAAACCTACGAGCATGGGTATGGTGCTTACAAACCTAGAAGCATAATCGTGGCCAATCAGGATTCGAACCCACAATCATAGGTTTCTAGCATCCCCAAAAGACAGAACTGAGCACAGAGAATTATGGCGCCATAGAGGACTGGGCCACCCATGCCACCACCATGAAAAAACACACTCTGACTACAATTATCCATGCCATAACAGCAACACTACAAACGTTTTTGTCCACCTACAACACAGGATTTATATTATAAGGCAGCAAGTCTGAAAGATCTGTCTACCCATGTCAGAGGACACTTGATTTTGAAATATTGAAAATAATTTGTCTGTAATCATGAATATGTGTTGAAATAACATATTTTTGTTGTTGTTCATGTGGTTGTCTAGATATCTTTTACCTTTGCCTGTACGACTTGTTTCTTATTCCATCTGCGATGTTTATCCTACTAATTCACTGTATTAGTTCTTAGGAATGTATAATATGCTCATGTTGCTATATGGCTGAGATATTGCTGATGCAACGGTACATTTTAAGTCACACACTCACTCACTCACAACATGATAAATCTGTGCTCCTCACCTTGGGGGCGTAACCTCATCCGCCACTGCAAAAGATAAAAATTCAAGTAATATTCAACAGTAAAGAACACAATTTTGTAGCAATGGTACTGGAATGAAAATAAGATATTACACTAACAATTTTTTTCATTTAGGTAAACTTTTATAGAGTACTTTGTATATTGTTGACAATTGTACAATACAAAGTCTTCTAAAGAAAATAAACAGATGAGGCTATAAATAGTTTGTAGTGGAACGATACACCGATGCATTGGTGGATCTCAATTTTACACTTTGTGATACAAGTATCAGTCACAATTGCACACTAAGTATAAAGTATCAATTCTTAACTAAAATGTATTTTTTAATAAATGTTACACCAAACAGTTGTTACTAGTGAAAATGAGTAGTGAAAACGTAATTACTTTCATCCATTGCACAATACTTGACACTGCCAACTGTAAATCACTAGTTAGCCAGGTATTTCGCCATCATGTCAATTAAAAAGATGGCTTACGCACCACAAATAAGAGTGAGTGAGTGAGTGAATATGGTTTTACGCCGCTTTTAGCAATATTCCAGCAATTTCACAGCGGGGGACACCAGCAATGGGCTTCACACATTGTACCCATGTTGGGAATCGAACCCGGGTCTTTGGCGTTCTTTGAACGCTTTAACCACTAGGCTACCAAACCGACCCTCACAGATAATAGCAAATGCAAGTATCGTGATACGAATCGGATCGTGAGCAAGGTTTCATGACACATATCGGATCGCACAGTTGGAGTATCTTCCGAGCCCTAATAAATAGCATGTATAAAATGTGAAAGGATAGGTGGAATAAAGCTTCTGGTAATTAAGTCTAGATTTTATCTTTTGAGTGCAAATTTGTCAAGGTGATGATGACTTATGTCCCTTGAATGTAGTTGCTGAGTAGGGCTGTCTGCTCTTGTCCCACAGTCCCTGAACTGTATCTTCCCTTCCGCCCAGCCCTAATTGTAGAGTGAGTGAGTATAATGCCGCTTTTAACAGTATTCCAGTTATATCACAACTTGTCAGCTTAATGTGAGAGGAAACCCGAAGTGATGCAGGTCTCAGACATTTACTACTTCGGAAAAACCAACGAGCATGGGTTTGGTGCTGACAAACCTAGAAAGATACAAACAGGATTCCAACCCACAATCATAGGTTTCTGGCTTGACCAAGGGACGCAACTTCTGCACAGCGAATAGTGGCGCCTTAGATGACTGGGCCACCCGTGCCCCCTAATTGTAGAATCAGACCTCAAAAACAGTGAAAGTTCAATAAGGTCATACAATTGTAAATTCTTTGGTGCCACACTCAGCAATATTCCAGCTATATGATGTTGGTCTGTGAAAAATCACATCTTCACCAGACAATCCACTGATTGACATCATGAGCATCGATCTACACAATTGGATATGATATCATGCATCAACCAAGTCAGCAAATCTGATCACTCGATCCCATTATCCACATCTTTTGACAAGCATGGGCTGTTGAAGACCAATTCTAACCCTATCTTCAAATGCCTTGCATTTCTTTACTTTATACAACCGTAATGGTAAAAAATAGTAAGGTTTTTTTTATTCGCTTTACAGAGGTAAATTTCACATGGAGAGAAAATTTGGAGTGTGATTTAATCTCATACCTACTACACATAAATACAACTTCAAGACTCAAGACTAACTTAGCAACTGGTTTGTTGTGTGCTGACTCAATTTCCTTTAAATCAGAATACCAATCCCAGAATACCAATACCAGAGAGAGGTAGGGTATGCAAGTAAATGACCTGATTTTACCTGATCAATAACTTTGTATGTTCTAGAGGTGTTTCACTTGAATACCATGATATGAAATACTAATAAATACATATCACAATACGTTTGAAAAATACTGGTATATTCCGTTATTTTCAAAATCATGCATACGTTCATCTTGTTGATTTTTTTAATGAAAGTGACAAGTTGAATTGAAATTAAGAAAGTAGCAAATGTGTCTTGTGATAGAAAAAGCGAGGCTATTTGCGACGAGCTTCCTTCATATACACCTATTCTGTCTATTACACATGTGTTGTGACCATAGCAACATCAAACAACATATGAAGGTGTCAAAAATGTCTGGGGGAAGTTTTTTCATTCAGGTTCTTAAGAAATTACAGATGAAAGAAAGCATGCAATATATTGTGGAACATATCGCAATACATGAATCATTCAGGCCAATAACCATGACTTATATGATCACAGATACTTGTGACTGCTGGTACATTATGCAGGTATGGATTACTTATGAATGATTAAATCCAACTGAATAGATCATTGTATAAAAGTGGGCACATATACATTACACCCAGGGATATACCCCCAGATTTAGGCTCGTTAGGTCACTGGTGTAAGCATGAATTGACATTCACACAACATTGACACCAACTTGGGCTACTTGAACAAGGACTCCATGGTGATATCCACATGCAAGTGTAGTATTTACATTTCTAGGTGTGGCCATCATAGGAGTGCCTGCATTCATGGAATATAATAAATTGGAAGTCAATGCAATTTGACTGAAATGTTTGTTCACAATACCTTTTCAAACAGATTGGCTGGTCTGTTTGTGGTAAGATTTCATAAAAATAGCTGCATGTTTTGAATGTGATACATAGCTCCAGATAAGCTTTTGGTGTTGTGGGTATTTTACCCATGCATTTTAAAATCATTGGGTATCAGTAATTCTATCTGGGTATTCAAATTTGTGTTAGTGTTACCCACTAGTTTTTACACATGTGGGCATTTATTTTAAGTTAAATATTTAAAAACACTATTCATCTAGTCCCAGCAAACTGGTGTTGTGTGGGTTCGAGAGCTTTATAGGACTCAAAAATACCACGTTACTTCCACAAGAAAGTGTGATGGCAAACGACCATGATGTAACTGTCATCGTGGAGTTTGGCAAGGTTGACGGAATGCACGTTTATAATTTCAAAATAAGTTACTGATTTGCTAATCGAATACGCAGGGTTACTTCACAATATTTTGATGATACGCACAAGTTTTATTTTTTGTAGCGTATCTGTAATGTTCGTTGCCTATTTGATGCGCTTGGATTTTATTTTACTGCATATTTCTGTATTTCTGATGCGTATTTACGCAGATAGGCAGCTTTGGTGATAGGGTTTCAGTGACACAGAAATGTCTCCAGTTTGTACAATAGGAGTGAGGCAAGTTTAGGTGCTGGTTTGCCTGACTTCTTTTGACAAGCCTAAACAAAGTCTGCATTGATTTTCTCTCACAATCTATGAGCAACAACATCACAGCTCTGATGCTGTCTCATCTGTTACCCAAACACAAATACTCTCCATGACAACAATTAATAAATAATGAATGTCTTCAATGACACCAGATCTAAAAGGGCTATGTGGGTCATTCTTAGAAAATTTAATGAATTCTTGTTCTTTTGTAATAAATAAAAAAATCACAAGTTCTTTAACTTGATAGACATGTATAATAGAATCACACTTTATCTACATATCAACCAGGGAAAGCTGACTCCTGTATCATTTGTGGAGAAACAGTGCCCTAAAAGGGAAACAAATATTTAAAAGAATGGCAATTTGTGAGAAGGAACATCCTTTTTGACATTTCAAAGCATGAAAAAATAATAATGCATAAATATTGGAACTGGATGTTCCTATAGTAATAACAAATGACAACTTGAACGGGTGGAACGAGCATTTATTGTAACAGACATCTGCATAATGCTACCCCTGCGTCACAGGGCCATATGACACAGTTGAACCAATCAACTCAACTCAAAAGGTTGCTCAGGAATGGCGCACGCACGAATACGGTGTTAGCGCTGGGCGTCTCAAGCAGTTATTTGATAATATTTATCCAATTATTCTTGCATTCTTTTTCAGGTCAGTGTTATTGACTTGAATGTATCATTCCTTGCCACATTATTATATTTCATGTATCATGTTATTAGGTGTAATATATCATATGTAATTATTCATTTAGATAAATCATTGCTTTTTGGTGTGTTTTTTGGGAGATGATTCGAGAGTTTCGGGGCTGTTTCGGGTGAAAGAGAATCAAATACTGAGCGAAGAATTGCACAAGTGGACAAGATCTGATTACGACATGTACTACAAAGCACGAACCTTAAGTTCGTAGACGTTTCCTAGAAATTCTTTGATAAACAAATATTTTCTCACGAATCCCACGAACTACAAGAATGTTTGGGAATCAAATGAGATATATTTAAGATTCTTAAGAAATGATTAAGAATATGTACGAATATGTAAGAATTCATATCCGTGGTAATTCGGGCTATTACATGTTGTAGTGAAACGGGTATATGTATTGCACTAGTCTTGGTCCCACGAAATGCCCTCGTCGTCAGATTTCGGAGTCTGTGCTGTCACCTACCGGTAAATGAACAACAACAGGCTGGACAGTATCTGGTCGGATACAGTCTTGTTTCCAATACTCTTCCTCAACTTTGATAACATGTTCGACACAGTTTGCCCAACGTACATCTGTAATTTCTCCCATCCCTTTCAAGACAATCAGCTCGACGTCGGCAAGCTTGAAGGTCTTTTTTTGCCGTGCGACCATATTTTTCAAATCACCCCAGATTAGTTCGATGGGATTCAAGTCGCAATGGTAAGGAGAAAGTCTAAGCACTTCGTGACCGTGTTCTCTCAACATGTTGTCAATCAAATAAGAGGGCGGGGGTTTGTTCTGAAGAACCAGTTGGTAGTAGTCAGTTTTTTTGGCTTTCGTGGACCGAGCAATGCGGTTGTTGTCCAACCACTGACATATCTCACATATGGTGGAATTTGAGGTTGGATAACGGTTAATAGGATCTCGACAACTGTGAAAGGGAGCATTGTCCATAACCACCAGCTGCTCCTCAACATACGCAGTGAACACCTGACTATTCATCTCGGTATGGTAGTCTCAGCCATCTGTAGATCTGGATCTAAAACTAGATCACACCCAGGGAGGAAACCTCTGTGGGAGCCTGCATGGAGGACAATGAGGCGCTCCCCTTTACCAGGGGGGATCTTGCGGTGTGGCTCTCTGGTATCTTGGTGAGACCATTGGTAAGCCGCTGTGTGGCAGGCGTTAACCCAGGTTTCTTCCAAATAGGCAGGCTCATAGCCTTCTTCTCGTTTCCTTTTAATAGTGCGCAAATAATTGATACGCAAACGAATGATATCTGGTCGTTCACACATTGCTAGTTTCGACCCTTTCGTCTTTTTGTACTGATATCCAAAGTTGGAAAGGAGTTTGCAAATGGTCCATTTGGAAACATCTAAGTCAGGATAATTTGTTTTTGTTTTTGTGTTGAAATAAATTCATTTTCTCGTGTTAACCGCCACATCACGTCCCTGGCAACTTTCTTATCAAAGGAATCTAACTTTAATTTCCTATCCTGTTTTGAGATGCCCCCTAAGGGATGTGCAGGGGAGCATGTGTTTTTATGAGAGTTCAAAATCTTGTTTTGTAAGCTGTAACGCATGAATTGTTCTTTTCATGTACTTTGAAATGTCAAAGAAGGGCGAAGGTCTTTCACTTTCAGCCTTAAAGTTTTCAAATATTTTAACAACGAAACCTTTCGCATCAGCGGAAAGATGCTTGTGCTGAGACATCATGAAATCTAATGCTAACACCGTATTTGTGCGTGCGTGATTCCCGTGCAACCTTACGAGTTGAGTTGATTGGTTCAACCGTGTCATATGGCCCTGTAACGCAGGGGGTAGCATTATGCAGATGTTTGTTACAATGAATGCTCGTTCCACCCGTGATGAACAGGTCTGGTTGTTGATGAAATATAGTGATAGCTAAATAGACAGATTTTTTATTCATGTCTTTAAATGTAATATCCAGTTATGTATTACTGTTTAATAATCTCATACCAACTTTAACTGGAGTAGGTCCAATAGTTTTTCAGATATTGTAGTTAACGTCGGTAACTTAAATTAACTTCCAGACTATAATTGAAAAGTTCATATCGATGAGATTTCATTTGATATGGTCAGAGACCCGGTCTCTGATATGGTACACACTACACATGGAAACAGGACAGCAAAATTGACAAAAAAACTGGAATGTATTTTTGGCCAACAAACTGTAATACTATTTACAACAGTCGCTATTTCATGTCATCACTTTGAAAATATTAAATTACGATCTAAACACACATTGTCGAAATTGGATAACTGTAGATTGTTGTCTCCTGCATGCCAATGTAATGAACAGCTGATAATGCTGATGGTGGTAAACTAGCCTCCTAGATGATCTATAATTGTCCTCGCAAATAATTCCCCATAAAGTCGACAATGAACAGAAATACATAAATATTTGTGTAATTTCTCCTAAAGTAGACAATGAGCAGAAATATATGTACTAATGAATTTTTTTGTTAATATTCGCAATGGAATAATTAATGTTTGAAAATAGGATATCCCAAGATATATCTATATATATTCTAGTAACATTAATTGCAATATTATTCGAGTCCCAAGTACCGAAAATCAAATAAAGTTTCCACTATGTGAAGATGAAATATCTCTGAAACTTAGGCAATAGCAAAATTTCATCACACGCCAAAAAATCTCATTGCTTTAGGACCTGGGGAGATTTTGTCTCAGAGTCAAAGATTTCCATGATGATCCCCGAATGACAGGTTCTTTGTTCACCAAACTCGGTTTTAGTTTTGGTTTGTTGTTTTACGCCGCACCCAGCAATATTCCAGCTATATCACTATATGACGGCGGTCTATAAAAAATCGAGTCTGGACCAGGTAATCCAGTGATTGATATCATAAGCATCAATCCACGCAATTGGGATCGACGACAGTGAGCCTGACCATCCGATCCCGTTAGTCGATCGCTGGGTTGCTGGAGACCTATACTACCCCAGATCTTCACCGTTAACAAAACTCAGTAAAGAAAATGAGCAAACATCAATCCTGAATTGATGTGTCATAAAAGTTGAACAAAGAACAAGAATAAGTTTTTAAGCGTACACCAATACGATCCATTATAAATTAACAACTGTGATAATATAGCGTACATTCCTATATGGATATTGATTCACAGGGAATGATTCAGCATTAATGCCTCTCGATCCGCCAGTGCCTACCCACCTCTTACCAAACATACTGAGTAACCCATACGACTGAACAGACACCTGAGATGCGTCACGTTTATTCGAACATCACAATCCTAATTTACTCGATCAATTTACCTCACTGACACATCGATTAGGTGCGAGGCGAACATGAACTTGATGAGTCATGGCACGACACTGGCGTTCGTATGGTTGATCTATAGTAATAACATCACATATCCATCAAAATAAGGTTAAGTACGGTAATGACTAAGGTATTTTTCACTGTCATACAAGCGCCTGCGTGACTTGAATATCAGAGCAAGCCGAAGCTGTAAGTTTTTGACTGGTGGACCTAATTCCTGACATAAGACCCTGAAATAAAAGCAAATCAAGAATATTACCAGTAAACGACGTGCACTTTCACTTTTCCCATGTTGATGTTTTAGATTTTCTTTCAAAACACACCGCTTGTTGGCAGCAAACTTTCTCTCAAACAAATCGCACCCGACTGTATCATCCGGGCATCAGTATGGGAGATAACTCTAATTTGGTGTGGCGCCAAATGTGCGAGCGAGAAAGGGGTTCATTTGTTTGTGGCCAGAAGCATAAACAGAGACGATCGATATATATATCCTAGCTACTACCTGTATCGCCATAGTATATACGTTTCATATTCTGCCCACCGTGAAACAAGAAACATCTCATGCTTGTTAGAATTGGAAAGAATTAAGGAAAAACGTATTTTAGGTCTAAATTTGGGAAATTTAGGGAAATTCTATTATCCGATAATGTACAAGAGTCACTTGATAGACCTGTTGGTATGGCGTTAATGACACTGTTAAAAAGTATACAACTCATTAAAGAAGCATTATGTAGGCCTACCGTTCTTAAAATATGTTTTCACTCGACAATCAGTATACAGCTGTTTTCGTGATAGCAGCGAGGGTCGGTTTTAGCCTGCACCAGGCCAAATGGCATGAAGACACCATCTGGAAGAAGGAAATGTTTGATACTGCAAGTTAACGTTTAAAACGAGTTAGATGTAAAGCTTTGAATAGATTCAGAAAACATACGGATACTATAGGCCCTTTGGAGAATTACAATCACATTAGAAATAAGTATAACAAACGGTAACAATTGAAGGGCCTCCTATATGTGATTAAGAGTTTCAATTGTAAAAATTTTCTTGAAAATAATGTTGGTATTGATGACAGATATAAAATTTTAGAGAATTGCGTACAGGTAATAACAAAAAGCGAACAAATAGGCCAATGTACCGGACGATTATCCGGATGTGCTACATATTATGATGTCTGTACCCAATGATGATTTTGCTAACTCAGTGATAATTTAATACAGAATATGTTTTCAACGTGCCTGCCACACCGTGAAGATGAATTGTTGAATAACTTTGATAGTCGTCTAAAATGCAGCAAATCCCCTGGAATACATGATACTATTTCGAATTCTTTTGTACACTAGGCTGATTAGAATTCATCTTCTTTCGCCATATTATGAATTGTTATTTAACATGATGTTTGATAAAGGACACCTCCACGTAACATGGTCTATTAGTTATGTGTTTCCGCTTCATAGGAATGTTGCTTCAAATGATGTTTATAAGGGTAACTTTTATGTATCTCTTTTTTTTATGTATCTCAATTAAAATATATACTTTCACAAGAAACTTTAATTGTATCCTGGGCCGATACTATGTGGTTAACATTTCTGAATCTTAAGCTACATTTAAGTAAGGTATTCCACATTCAATGATATTTTTCTATTACAATCTCTAATACAGTGTACGTTATAAGCCAGAAAGGGTGGGTGGGTGAAATGTGGTTTACCATCGCGTCCAAGATTATTGCACTTATATAGCGACGTGCATGTACGTGTGTGTGTTTGTGTGGCTGCGTGTTTGTCCGGGCTGATGCCGATTTATAGTGCTAGCTCACTGAGATACCATGCCACAGTTTAACCTAGACACAGTATACTGACTCCGAGCCGACCAGTCCTTGTTTTAACCACTAAATGCCGAGCGCCAGACAGGGTAACAACAAGTACCATCTTTTAACGGGGATCGAACCCCGGACCTTCCGCTCTCCGGTCGGACGCTCTACCACTAGACCACGGAGGCGATCTATAAGCCAGAAAGGGGGAAGGCTTTCTGATTTATTTGTTAATTTGTCTGAAGAATGTGATTCTGTAAAACGTTGTTAATTATTGAGCTTGTTGAATGTACTTGACTTTGCAGCATAAGGCTGACATCATTATGACGTGTATTATTTGTTATGGTGTCTTTAGTTGCCGTATACGGTGTCATATTACGTTAGCAGAAAAATATTTGGCCTAATATGACACCGTAAACGGCAACTAAAGACACAATAACAAATTCATTATGCCGAAAGGTTTTTACTCTCTGGTATCCAAACCGCACATTTTGCCTTTTATCATAGATTTCCTCATCGATGCTACAAATGTCAAAGGGAGACCACTCTTCAAACCTTAGAGGCCAAACCTTGTTGACAATTTTAACTATAATCTTTATCAATATAATCACAAACTTGCTCCCCCCAAAAAAAACAAACAAAACAAAACAAACAAAACAACAACAACAACAACAAAAAACAAATAACAAAAAACAAACCAGCTTTATGTCCCTGCTCATCACAATTTATTATATTAAAACACAAAACAATGTCAAATAACGAATTTCGGTACCAGCATTTCCATGTGAAATATGTGAGGTGGGGTTGAATAATCCAAGATGGCTGTTACTGACGGTTTTCGGTCTCATTTAGGTCAGTATCAACCATCTTGGATTTTTACTGACGGTGTACGGGCTAATGTGGGGTCAGTAGTTCTGCTCTCTGATTGGTCAATCTCACTTTGAGGCATATTAAGTACACATGTGTATGTAAATGTTAAAAAGCCGTGTGAGAGACAAGGGGGTACTGGTTAAACATGGTTCAATGCAAATTTAGTGGGCGCCAAGGATTTATATTGAGTCCATATTTATTCTCTCTTCTCAATCACACAACAGTATTCATTTTCATCCAGGTGGTATACAACTTTCCTAACACAATAGGGACAAAACTAAATAATTGTGTAGCAAAATAGCTATGAATTGGCGAAAGGGGAGAAATGCTTTTAAAGGTGAAACTCGCAACTAATTACACACTATAAATCTATAAATAAAGATTTTACTGGGAGTAATGACGTATCTTTTGATTCTTGGTGATATTAGATACTGTACATACTTTAAGTGTGAGGTTTGCAATTCTTAGATAGAATAAATGGAGACTATATGATAGCATTCGTAGTCATTTCGTTAAATAATTTTAAAATCTCAAGTGTGGTCGATGTACTAAAGTTCCGAGAACAAAAAGATTATGTAAGTTCTGTAACATCCACGCTGTGGGGATGCGTATCACACTGTACTTGGTTGTCCATTCTACTCCACATAAACGAGAATATGTCTACCTGTGTATTAAATAACGGAGCCAAATTTTATAAACTGCCAATGTTTGTTAAAGAGTAATGATAAGTTTATTATACAAATAAAAGCGACAAAACCCTTTCCATATTCATAAGGAATGTTTGCAAGCAGAGTAGATTTACGATTTCGACTATATCATGAGCGTGTGTTTTTGATGATACAAAATTTGCCCATATTCATATACCACGCATTGTTGTACAGAAACAAATTTGTAAACAATGGTTAAAGTGTTTGTATCACCTCAATACCATATATACCACCCGTGAAGATCCGGGGTAGAATACGTCTTCAGCAACCCATGCTTGCCGTAAAAGGCGACTATGCTTGCCGTAAGGGGCAACTAACGGGATCGGGTGGTCAGGCTCGCTGACTTGTTTGATGCAATTGCGTGGATCGATGCTCATGGCGTCAATCACTGGATTGTCTGGTCCAGTTTACAGAATATTGCTGAACAAACAAACAAACTATATACTATAGGCCTTGAATAAAGATCAATTGATTGATACAAGGAGTGAGTGAGTATGGTTTTACACCGCTTTTAGCAATATTCCAACGATATCTCGGAGGGGAACACCAGAAATTGGCTTCACACATTGTACCCATGTCGGGAATCGAACCCGGGTCTTCGGCGTGGCGAGCGAACGCTTTAACCACTAGGCTACCCGACCGCCCTTGATACAAGGATAGTGAGTGACTGAGTTTGTGACTACTTCCCATCTTTAGGACACAACGGACTATGGGCTAGATGCCAAAAATGCGACAATAAATGGAAACGTTCCTTTTTTCTAGTTAGCGGAATAAAAAACCTCGCTGCTTTTAATTTTTTTCATATTTCAATTTCGCTAGAATGAAATCACACTTTGAACGGGAACTACTTTCAAATAGTAAGTATGACACTGTCTTCGGGGAATGATCGTGAAGATAAGTCAGGGAATATGTAATAAACATTAGTTTTGTCCTTGCTTGTCATACGACATGTTTATCGCATCTCGCGAGAATTGGAGAAGCGAGTGCAAAACCACCCATACAGGTATACAGTGGTATGGACACGGATGTCCGTGAACCTGTTTACGGTAGAAGGTGAGGTGAAATTGGGTTTAACATCGCGTCCAAGATTATTGCACTTATATAGCGACGTGCATGTACGTGTGTGTGTTTGTGTGGCTGCTTGTACTAGTCCGGACTGATGCCGATTTATAGTGCTACCTCACTGAGATACCATGCCGCAGTTTAACATGAAGACCCCACTCAGACACAGATACTGACTCCGAGCCGACCAGTCCTCGTTTTAGCCGAGCGCCAGACTGGGTAACAACAAGTACCATCTTTTAACGTCTTATGGTATGACGCGGCCGGGGATCGAACCCCGGACCTTTCGCTCTCCGGGCGGACGCTCTACCACTAGACCACGGAGGCGGTCCCATATACGGTAGAAACGCCATGGGACGTTTAAGTCCTTTTTATCATTGACCAATCCATTGCAACATAGCTCCATTGTTTTCATTATTTGCGACGTCATATGTAACGTCGTATCATATATAAGATATAAACAATATCGTAATCGCCGTAATAACAACCCCGGAAGCATAGAAAATGGACAAAGGGGGCGGTTATTAAAACAATACACAAGTTGATTTTGTTTTAGGAGACGAACGGAACGTGAGCAAAGTTAGCCCATATGTCAGTGCAGCTAAATGTTTGCGATAATAGCTACTAGGCAGGTATGTACCCCTTCAACGCTACTGTTTTCTGTTATATACACAAGGCAGTGTGGATAGTTATGTGGATTTCTTAGTCGGGGGCGCTGATAAAGATCAGTTATATATTGGTGGTCTGGAATGGAACCGGGGGCACGGGTGGCCCAGTCGTCTAAGGCGCCGCGATTCGCTGTGCAGAGTTGCGTCCCTTTGGCACGCCAGAAACCTATGATTGTGGGTTCGAATCCCGGTTCGCCCCGATTATGTTTCTAGGTTTGTCAGCACCATAACCGTGCTCGTGGTTTCACCGAAGTGGTAAACGTCTGAGACCAGCATCACTTCGGGCTTTCCTCCCA